ACTGACCATGTTCCGTGCGTCTTCATTAATCGGTTATACAAGCAAATCGCGAAGCGATGTGCACATACACGTCTCAATCCTTTCTCAAACACTGATACAGCCTCAAAATTCTATCAGTGGAATACAAAAAGCTTATCTATGGATACGTTCTCGAGCATAATCACTCAGTGCTCCTATCATGTCAACCCATACCTGACACTCCAAATGATTCCTCCCAATATGCCGTGTAGCTCGTTTTGGTAACCCTGTTGGAACGTTGGAAGCTTCGAGATCGTCAATGGCATTTGCATTCTTACTTAATCATTTTGCGCTGCACCTTCGTCTTTTATATTCATACATACATATGTATGTATGTACACATGATCCTTGCAGTATTCCACTCTGCTTATTGCTTCGTGACATGCTCTGATCCCCCTCACCCCTTCTCAGCTGGGTATTACCCCAGACTGTTGTGTATCGCCTTATTGTTCCAGATTCGGTTGGCTTGGGCCTGTCGAAGGCTTGAAGACTAAACCCACAATAGACAACTTGGCTCCACCGATGGTTGTAAGGCAGGGCCGGGTCCACCACTTTGACTGCATGCTTTCGCATTCCAGACCAGGTTGAAGATCACACCCTGTGCCTTACCCACAAGGTGCTTTAAGGTAAGGTGTCTAGCCTGTAGTCAGTCCCTCATCAAAGCGACCGACGCATAAATAATCGGAATCACTACATGAGGGATCGAAGCTCCGAACCCAATGAAGGTGTCCTCAGAAGCAACCTGTATTGCAGCATGCCGAGAAACATGCACTTTTACAAATGAATGAACTCGCTGTACTCCTCCTTCCTATTCATTCCTATCCGCGTGTTTTGATCGTCGCCGTCCATTTAATCACAGACCGTCTCTCCATATTTTCTCTCATTATTGCCGCACGTCGAAACCTCTCGATACCAGTTTCGCCATTACTTCCATTCCCATTGATATGCTAATTTAGTGCATTCCTCCATCCTCTACATCTAACTTTGCGACCTTGTCCGTGTTTACTTCACAGGCTACAACGATCCAAGTAGAGTGACGCGCAAAAAACCCGGAAGACAGTGTCCTTCAATAAATAGGTTTCTTCTACAAAGGCGGTACTAAAATACAGTTTACAATAGTGAAAAATATGCAAACCTCAAACTGTGGCACTACCCGGAATCTGTGAAGCCTGTAATTCGGCAAGCAAGAACTGCAAGCAAGCAGGCGCGCAGTGCGATGACAATAGAACCAATACACCGAACAATGTCGAACAGCATCACATGAATCCGTGGTGATCAATAGTGAAAAGCGACCTAGAGGTAACCAATCACAACACAATGGGTGTAAATGTGTCATCAGGGCCCGTCGTGACAGGACAGTGCGATGAATCGGTGTAGGTGTGTGCGTGCGCGTGTGTACACAAGTGTCAGAGTCAGTCGATCATGAGAACGGGTCGATGGGACCGGTGAGACCGACGGAGCTCAACGTAATGGGGCAAACATACTAATGGTGCGTGCGTTTGTGTGAACGGTGTGGAGAACAGTCATAGGCACGGATCAATGAGGGGATGAAATCAACATTACACGGTCATAGGGAAGACAATAGACGACAGGAGAGTGGTGCTGGGTGTATGCATGTGAAGAGTGTCAATATGGGCAGAATTTATTCTACAGTCCGCTTTGTGTTTCTTTCTCATTGCGTTTTCGTTTCGGTCCTCACCACCTCCATTATTTATATCTTCTAATTAGACCTGTAAACCTGGACTTTTGTTGTACATGTGATTGCTTTGAACATTTGATCATGCTTTGAGCATGCTCGGGCGCTGCGTCCGAGACCGAAGCAAGGATCAACCCTTCACCCTTTGCATGGTGGTTCCTGCGGTTTACCCTCCCAGGTCAATAACGGCAAATACGTGGCAAATTTTTCGGATGAAGGGGGCAACTGGCCGACCGCCGGAGAGGCTCATGAGGAAAACCCATGAGAGGGTAAGGTACCCTCCCAAGATAGCCCTCCGACCAAAGTACGCCTAAACCGTACTTCGACCACCACTAATGTTCCTTCCGACTGCACATCCGGTTCCGCCTTTCTCTCTAACAAACTCGAGAACGCTGATGGATGCATACTAAAATGTCTTTCTAGCAACTGTCTCAGCCTCCCAAACAAAGCTCTCGAATTAAACCAACATACCTTAGATCAACAATCCCATGTTATCACCCACATTGAGACCTGGCAGAACGACAATGTTCCGAACGGGAAGATCTTCATTCACGGTTTTACACTGATAAGAGCAGACTCAGCTCGGGGCAGAGCAGGTGGTGTCATAGCTTATTTTAGTTGCGCCCTACCTCCTCCATTTCTTAGTTCTTTTGACCCAACAAACCCAATAGATACTCTATGGGTTATACTCAAACTCTCAAGGTCTGTCTCACTTCTACTTGGAGTCGTGTACCGTCCCCCGCAGAGTTCCCCTCTCGAAAGTCAACTACTCATTGACCGGTTAAATTCAATAAGTGGCACTCAACCTTTCACCTACCTTCTAACTACTGGTGACTTAAATGTCCCGGCTCTTGATTGGCTCGGAGCATGCTCCTGTGATCTTTCCTCTGATCGATCTTGTACTAGAAAACTCCTGAACTCAACACGTAGATCAACCTACAATGTTCCGCCCGGTCCAGATCCCTTCATTGCTAGACCTGATTATGACCAATGAAAAAAGTCCACAAATGGTCGGATCCTTCAAGCGTACTAATTTCGTTTCCTCAAGAGGGTTTCTTAGAGACAGTTTAACGGTTTTCCCCTAGATCTGCCCACAGACAATCTTACATAAAATATAGCACAAATCGTCACTTCAGCTGACTAGTGATTTGTCCCCCGAGTTCTCGTACGCTCTAGTTCTAAACCCCGTCTACCTAGGCCCATCCGTAGGCTTTTAAATGAGCTGTCTTGACTGTTTGCAATATACAAGCAAACGAGATTTGAAGCTGGTGGACTAGCTTTCAAAAGGCTCAGGAACATCTGCCGCTCAAATATTAGAGATTACAAACTGCGCACGCAAAGAGCTACACTCAAACGAGCTCAAAAAAACAGACCGTTCCTCTACAAGTATATCCGTCGACTCAGCGGCACATCTCACTCCCCTCTAGCCCTCAAGTTACCAGTTGGGACAGAAGTAACTGCCCCGTCAGAGATTGTGGGCGAATTTAAAAAGCACTACCAGATCATTTTCAGCTCCACTCCCATCACTACTCACCCGATACTACAGAGCTTTTCATTAAACTCTACGTTCAACCGTATCAATTTCTCACAGTTACACGTAGAGAAAAATCTAGGGAACCTCAACCTTTACTGCGATATGCGGCCTGACAAAGTACACTCTAGAATTCTTAAAGAATCGGTGGATATCTCAGCTAGCCCATGCACACGACTCTTTCAAAGGTGTATGGATGAAGGCATATTTCCTTCTCGCTGGAAAGCCACAGTTTTCTCCCCCCATATACATAAAAGGTAGTAGATTCCTTCCAGTAAGGTACCGTGCTATCTTCCTGACCAGCGTCCCGAGCAATATTCTAGAGCGCGTGCTAAAAGAGACCATCTTGAAGCACCTATGCGCCAATAATTTACTTTCAACCTTTCAGAACGGGTTTCTGCCAGGCAGATCTTGCATCATCAATATGCTGGCTGTCATGAGCATTTTAACAAAGGCTTATGATGAAGGCAAAATCTCGTACGCCGTAAACATAGATTTTGAGAAAGCCTTCGACAAGGTCCCACATGTCCCACTCATACACAAGCTAGGGGCGCACGCAATCGTTGACCCTTTTCTATCGCCTATTTACAGCTTTCTCTCTCATCGCACTTTTGCTGTAAGGGTTAACGCTACACCATCCAAACCTAACCCGACAACCGGTGTCCCTCAGGGACCTGTTCTCGGTTCCCTTCTCTTCCTTATATATATTATGGATCTACTTAGTGCATTACCTGCAAACGTAGCTATGTACGCAGATGATGTCACTATCTGGAGTGCAGATACCCGCATACTACTTACATCTATCGATGCTGTAAAACAATGGTCCGTTGAATGGAATCTGCCCATCAATGATGACAAGTGTGTATGCATGACTTTCGGGAACTCCCCTCACGTCTTGTTTCATATAAGTGGTACGCAATCTCTATAGCAAACCGACTTGCACAAGGTCCTAGGCTTCTAATTAAACAGTAATAATGAATAATAAATATCCGTCCTATCCTAGAATATGGTAGTCAAGTTGTTCATTTCGGCCTGATCCGTGATCGCGATGCTCTTGTGTTCAAAGAGTGGCAACAAAAAACGGTGGCTGGATTGCAACACCTTCGCTATCCTGAACGTCTAGTGGAGCTTGATCTGTATCCTCTGGAAGTCAGGTGAATTAGAAGTGACTTATTTATTCTACATCACCTGTTCTCCTCGGGCCTAGTAGATAAGTTCTTCACTTTAGCCCACACGGGTGGAACACGGGGTAATAGCGAAAAGCTATACAAACCTCAACCCCGCACCATACTTTGCACATCTTTCTTCACCTTCTAGGTAACTACTCACTGGAACGCATTGCCAGAGGAAATAATCTCTTCAAAAAGCAAAGCATCATTCAAGTCTCGACTTGATAAGTATCTAGGTCCAGTGGCTTCCTCTTGAGTCCTCCTTCGAAAAACGTTTTTTATAAACAAAAAAACAAAAAAGAAACAAAAAACACTTTATTTTTCTATTTTTTATACTTACTGTAGCCCTCTTCAATTTTTACTTCAATAAATTGTAACAGTTATTATCAATGTTGCCAGTATAACTAGCCTCACTAATCCCCGGGAAAGACGCCATTTTGCCCCTTTATTTTCCTCTAATTTTTCAGTTGCAGTCTCCAATTAGAGACGACAAGAAACCATCAAGGATCCGGGACTATTTGGCGCCAGCCCCGTTTCCGAAAATAACTTCAAGACAAGACTTCAAGAGTAGAGGGCTTAAAATGCCCAATTCCGGAAAAGTTATTCATGATATGCGCAAATGAATGCAGCATCCGGAATAATTGGGCAGAGCTAGGGGTCGCATCTGAGGAACTCACAGCTGCATTAATCGTTGTCTCAGGACTTTGCCATCTGAATCATCGCTCATGCCCCAGCCTTTAGCGGTTTACAGGATACGAGTGACCCCATCTTGGTTTTGTGCTTCCTTCCAGGTTTTGGTCCTGCACGTATCAACTGTTTTCATCTCATGGGAGTCCAAGATACCACCAACACTTAGTTCAACTGCATTGGTGTTCCGGTTTCCTAATAGAACGTTTTCCGGAAAGACCTTAGCGATGGATACATTGACAATAGTTCTTCCGGTTGCCTTACTCTTCCCTATCGCGAGTGCTGGACTCTACTCTGAGGTCTGCCATGCCCTTTGCTTTCGGGTATCATTTGTGATCTGACATTGGCACGCTCTATTTTTTCGCAGTTGTTGAGCATTTTGTCCCTTACTGAACTCAGCTAAGATAGGCCTCACTTTCCTCCGCTCCAAGCTGCCTACTGGATCGGTCCAGTAGCTGATCCTCTGCCCCGTCTTAATAGGCGCATGCGCGAGTAGCCCAGCAAGTCTCATGGTGTTCCGCACTTTCTTTGCTCTATGTCTACACGGTCTCTGGTGTTTCGTATAATCGGTTCCTCATTGTCACACATGAGGACGTTCATTCTTTGGCTCATTGCAATGTTGTCCTCTTTCTTGAGCATCGACATCTTCCTATCTAGAGAGGTAACTTTCAAATCTAACTCCTTTCAACTGCAAATCCAGTGAGTTCTGGATATTGAATCAGGTATTGCCTACATTTACAGAGGTTTTAAGACCGGCCCCCACCCCAAAGACTAATTATATGTAGCGAAGCCACCACAAAGCGTCGTTCTCCATGAAAGTCACGTGGTCGCTACGGGCTATGGGGCAAACCATGGGTTGTACCAATGTCCGCAGCAGTCACATGAATACTGCTGTAGACAAGTTTCTGGCAATTCAGAGCTGCACAGCACCCTGATAGAACGCGACGAACAGTGATCAACATTAGAATCACGTAAAATACGGTATCTGAAGTTGTAAAATGATACAATAAACTTCGTTTACATACTTGACCGTGATCCCCAATAGGCGGACCTTACAATGATAAACGAACAATTGGAGTGTTTCTGTTCAACCGGGGGGAATCAAACAAGTATCGAAACCGCTTTGTTCTACAAGAATAATAATAAATGGTATCGATAAACAAAGACCAGATTACCAGAGAGAAGAGGGAATTCCGCTCACAAAAACCTATCTGAGTCATCAAAATGTTGTTTTCATCATCATCTACGGTGCTTCAGCCACCATAACACGTACTTCGAACAGGCGAATGCCTGTTCGTTCACAAAATGTGTGCATTGGCCAGCAGCCGCTCTCCTCCAACACGTTTCACAAGTAGACTTTTCGACGAACGGAACACCCCATTTGCAAGATATAAGCTCAATAACATGGAGGGAGACGCTGATAAATTAAAATATATCCCGAACCTGTACAACAGTAAGATTAGGGAGTTCTTAAGCCGGCAACAAAAGACATCTTGGTCACGACAAGAAAAAAGCCCTCTTACCTCTTCAAACTTCTTTGTCATAAAAGACAACCCAGTTCCTCTACTTTAGCCTTCAAGCTTCCTGACGGCTCTCCAATTACATCACCTGACTAAATAGCGGATTCCTTCCAAACTCACTTCCAAGATATTTTCAATCTCGCTCCACATGGTTTCTTCCATTCCCTGAAGCCAAAGCCATGGAGCGCTTCATCGTTAAAACCGAACAGAAACTGAAACTTCTAAAATCACTAAACACTTTAAGCTCAATCAGCCTGAATGAGGTTCATCCCACAGTCCTAAAAAACAGCAGCTGCACTAGCCCCACAGTACAGGTGGCTGTTCCAGAACTGCCTAGACAAAGGCGAATACTTGGAAAAATGCAATCGTATTACCGATATACAAAGGGGACCCCGGTATCACCACAGCAGCTACAGACATATAAGTCTAACAAGCATCCTGAAGGAAATATTTGAACCTCCATTGATAGACATACTATTGAACACCCGAAGGAAAACAACCTTCTATCCTATTTTCAACAGGGCTTCGTTTCTGGCAGATCACGCATCACCAACATGCTATACGTCAGAGAAAGTATAACCCAAGGGTATGATGATGCCACAATCTCACACTCAATCTTCATAGATTTTGTCAAAGCTTTTGATCGAGTGCCACATTCTTCACTAATGCACAAACTACAAATGTATGGTGTTGGCGGCAGGCTCCTTAATCTTCTAGGCAGCATTTTATCCTCACGCTGTTAGAGCAGGAACCTCTTTCTTCAACTCTTCCGCGATGACAACCGGTGTTTCGTAGGGTGCCGTCCTGGGTCCTCTCTTTTCCTCTTGTACATAAATGATCTTCCGGACAAAATCTCGGTCCACATTGCTATGTATGCCGGCCATGTCACAATCTGGGGGAATGACACATCAGCAGTGCAGGCAGCCATGGATATCACCAAGGCATAATCATCAGACTGGAGCCTCTCAAAAGATGATGACAGACGTGTATGTCCTTTGGCAGGAGCTGAGAGCACATTTTCAATGTGTGTAACACATCCCAACTTCAAACTGTCAACCTTGGCCTTTTTAACAATAACAATAACAATAGTATACTTCACGACCAAACTTGTGAGGCACGCTGGGGTGCACGATAATTTTGTACAAAAAATGGTAGAATATTTGGGGTTGAAAAGTAGCGGAAGGAGATTATGTTTGCGCGCTACAAACAAAGAAAATCACAAAACGGTTCATGGGCATCTATTTCATTCGGGAATTGTTAAAAACGAAGATGAGCAAAGTAGTACATTTCTGACTGTTTATAATTCTGTAGATGAGGAGATTTGTTGAAGAAAAGTCACAGAGGTGGAATTGGAATGATTGATGTTGTGTATACATGTCAATGAGTTGTGTTATTCAGGATTGAGTTCAATCAGGGAAGGAAAATGGAAACGGTGCTTATCGGACACGGCAGAGGTGTAAAACATTGATCGTGTGGAAGTGGATAGAGACAAAGGCTGAAGGCCGATGGAGTTGTTTGAAAATTTTATTGTGTATTTGCTGGGAGATTTGTGTTTGGAAAATACGGTTGCATGAATTATGCCAGTACGACTAGCTTCTGAGTGATATCACAGTTTAAGCGCGGGTGATCGGATCAAAACGGGAGAAAGTGGTTTCAGACCTCGTCAGGCCTTCTATCATCGATAAAAATAACACGGGGCATGAGGTCGCTGCGTGTGGGCTTGCAGACTCACATTGAATTTGCTTAGCAAAAAGATCCAGTCGATAGGATGCGTCATAGGATCCTGCTTTTGGTTTATCGGTTATACTTCGGTTTTCTTCAACGTTGCATATAGGAACGATCCGACGGAAGTCGTCGTTATTCTGACAGCAGCAGATCTCTGGAAAGGAAGCCGGAAATGGCAAACAGTCTAGGTAATCTCCTAGCTGATGAGGGGGATGGCATGTTATCGCTCAACCTAAAGCTGGAAAATTATAACAGTCTGGGAATGAAGGATTTAGTTGAACCAATGTAATAGCCTCAGTCAATTGCTACTAGATAGACCTTGCGATAAAAATGGAAATGGGAATAGTGATTTTGAGTTTGCTAAATGGCCTCAAAACAGATTCGTTGAGGAAAAGATGTAAAGGAAGCAACATTGAAGACAAAAGAGCAAGAGAGGACCTAACTGGAGTTTGGAAACATTCAGCGGGCAACTTCTACACTGAAGAGGATCGTGTAGTCAAGAAAAGTAAGTTTGAGAGAAGTCTTGTCTTGAAGTCTTGAAGTGACTTTCGGGTTCGAGGCTGGCGCCCAATAGTCCCATATCCTTGAACTTCCTTCTTTACCACTTATTTTCTACGGACACGGCCAACCAGTTTTTCGCCTTCTTTAGCTTAGACAAGCTTCGTGAGCACAGAAGAAACGTTTCAGCCGTACCCGAATCCGTCATTAGTTCTTTACCCATAAGGTTACTCTTTTGTGCAATAGCCTCCCGCAAGAGGGTTATAGGCTCGCTTTTAAAGATCAGGGTCAATTACAAGCTCCACATCTTTCTTGGTCTTTAACACAGTAGCACCGATTTCCGTTAGGCGCACCTTTTCGATCTGTTCATCTAACTCTTCAATGATTCCGTTATCGTTTTAAATACTTTTATCTCAATTGCGTTCAGTTATAATATTTTTGTTATTGTTTTACTTTCGTGCGTAGAAACAAAATACCACAACACAAAAACAAAACAAAAAAAGAAAGAGTTGAAAAAACCGCTTTGATCTCTTTCAATAAATTAACTCCGATTTGTCAGTCTTGTGGCCTTTTCTTCGAGTCTCGTTCACGTGGGATATTGCGAGCTCGTGCCATTGCGATCCAGTGCTTCTGCAATGCAGTCCGTGATAACTGGTCCTAGATTCGTGTCCTGTGATTCCTGTTGCGTGGTTCGTGTTCCGAATTCCGTGCGTAAAACTAATTAACAGTCATTACAAATTGTCGTCGCGTGATGAAGCTTCCAACCATTGAGCAACTTAACCTGCAGGCAAGCCCAACTGAGATCGAGGAATGGGTCTAGCGATTTGAACTGTGTTGCAGTATTCGCAAACTGGTGCGCAGAATCAATCCCCTTTTTTACTTACTGCTCGCAGGCGTGAGCTCTACTTCTTGTTGGAAAAACTTGCGTTCCCTGAGGCGCCGGCTAAACTACCATACGAGTCCCTGAAGTCGCTGCTACTCAAGCACATGCTGCCCACTCAGTTCCCGGCACACGAAAGAGCCAAATTGAACTCTATGATTTGTGCTGATCATATTTCTTTCTGTGACTTCATCCTGCAGCCGAAAAAACAGGCATTACGCTTCAACTATGGTGATCGCCTGGAAGAACAAGTATGTGGTCGCTTGGTGGCAGGCATCAATAATCTGACTCTCCAATGGAAGATGCTGGAGCAGAAGGATATAACTTTTTCCGAGGCCCGCAAGATCTGTGAGCAACACGACGACCTGATGAAAGCTACTTCCAGCAAAGCAGTTGAGACCTAACACACCTCCAACGGCGAAGTGCACACCGAAGCCGCAGCTAGACCATTCTGCCAACGGGAAACGTATCAATCCCTGTTTGTCACGTGGAGCTTACCATCTACGCTCCAATTGCCGCTTCCGAAATGCCAAGTGTCACACATGCGGGAAAACTGGCCACATTCGGAGAGTGTGTAAACAGCATCGTTGCAATCTTGCACAGCTGACGGCCGCGAATGACACAAGCCATATGCTCTCTCTACGATCCGAAAGCCAACGCACCCAATTCCTATACACAGATGAGACAGTACAGTCCGGCACAAGGCACAAATTCATTGTTGACACGTGAAGCACGGAATCTGTCATTTCTACTGCATTGTTTCCGACAATCTGTCCCCAAGCCGGAATCCGTCCGACATCTATGCAAATCCTCGGCGTGATTGGACACAAATTGCCATTGATTGGTGAGGTTTCGCTGATCATACGTTCCACAGAAAATCGTCTTGTTCCCTTTTGCCTCCTAATTGTCAATTACACTCCATCGATACTTGGCCAGCCACCATTCATTCATTGAACCATTCGGTGTCACTGCATACAAGCCCGTTGCTCAATGTGCACACCCGTCTGCAGAGCCCATATCATGGAAAGTTCCAACAAAACAGGAGGCATGGACGCGCAGCCGGGGAAATTGGAAGTTGACGGAGAGCCAATTTTCCTGAAACGACGCGTAATACGCTATGGCCAACGTGAAGACGTGTTAAAGGCCCTTGAAAACATGGAGCGCAACAGCATAATCACCCGAGTCACATCCGGTAAATCCGCAACGTCAATTGTAATCGCAATCAAAAGTGACGGAAAAATACCACGGATTAGCAATTACCAGTTATTCCTCAATCCGCGAATTTGAAAAGCGACGTCAATTACGCGCGTACGCGTCACGGGTTCTGACTACGAGCTATTGGTGGATCATGCCAGCCAATCCGAAACAGTGCAGACAGAAGCTGAAGTATACAGGCAATACTGTAATATAATTATTAGAAGCCTGGATAACCAATGACCTTCTTTTGTACATATTATTTAACCGCTCTGATTTCTTTCAATAAATTAACTCCGATTTGTCAGTCTTGTGGCCTTTTCTTCGAGTCTCGTTCACGTGGGATATTGCGAGCTCGTGCCATTGCGATCCAGTGCTTCTGCAATGCAGTCCGTGATAACTGGTCCTAGATTCGTGTCCTGTGATTCCTGTTGCGTGGTTCGTGTTCCGAATTCCGTGCGAACAACTACTACTACAAGCGCTGCAGGCAGTGTTCGCACCGCTCTTCTAAACTTGCGAAACAAACCACTTCTTCAATTCCTGGGGCAATCTACCTGCACTCAATGATAAATTGATTAGCCACCTAGGTGGCTGATTGAGCTGGCCGCCAATCCTTTAANTAAGAATATCAGGATAAACACCATCCGGACTTGATACCTGACACGTTCTGATCGATTGGAGCATCCTTGTTACGGTAGCAATATGACATACCAACTATGATATCTTCCAAGCCCCATCTTAAGCAATGATATACATTTTGATTTGGAACACTTTTAAAAATGTTTTCAACCAGTTTCTACCATTCAGCCACCGGTACCCACAACGTTGCTTATACCATAGTTACACGCAGTCTAATCGTACATGGTCGCGTACGTCGTTTAGTTTCGGATGAGTTTGTTTGAACCAAACGCTAGTTCAAAGTTATGCTCAAAACGGGTATAATACGCCCTTCTCAAAGCCATTGGGCTTCGCCACTNATGGTGACTAAGAAGGTTGCAGGAGAATGACGCCCATGCGGGGATTACCGCGGACTCAATAGTTCAGCCATCCCGGATCGCTATCCGATCCCATACATCCCCGATTCAACGGCTAGTCTTAAGGGTACGTCTATCCTTATTAGGATTAATTTGGTCAGTTCTTACAAACAGATACCTGTCGACTCAATAGATGTCTTCACCACGTTCCGCCTGTTCAAATTCTTTCGAATGTCTTTCTGATTTTTCAATGCTACACAGGCGTTCCAACTTTTCATCGATGTGGTCCTTTGCGGATAAGACTTCGTTTTTTTGTAGTTGGAAGATATTTGTTGCAAGCAAGGACGCTGCTGAACACGATATGCACTTATGCGCACTTTGTCAAGGTTTGCATCAACACGGCATTGCAGTTAATGCCGCTAAGTATGAATTAGGTAGTGAATCTTCAGTTGTTCTAGGTCCTTATATTGATCGTCAAAGATTCCGTCCGATCGAAAAACAAATCGCAGCGATTCGTGATTTTCCTCCGCCTAAATCAGCGACCGAACTCCGTCGTTTCCTGGGAATGATTATTTACTATCATAGATTAATCCCACAATGCACCCAGGTCGTTCGCCTACCCACCTGCCGCACCTTCTGAGGAAACACCCCAAGGTTGTCGACTTGTATGAATCAACGCAAAAAGCTTTCGATGCCATTAACTTAGCAGTCTAAAATACTGTTTTATTGGCTCCTCAGAGCCCTGGTGCAAAGTTCAATTTATAATAATAATGACCATAATTTAAATTTCACGAAGCCCGGAAAGCAAGCACAGAGCATGATCAAATGTTCAAAGTAATCATACGTACAACAAAAAAGCAGGTATATAGAAGGTCTAATTAGAAGACATACATAATGAAGATGGTGGGGGAGCAGAACAAAAACGCAGTGCGAAAGAAATACAAAGCCGGCAAGGTCATAAACGTAGATGTGGAGGATGGACAAATGCACTAAATAAGCATGTCAATGTAAATCGAAGTAACGGCGAAACTGGTATCGAGAAGATTCGATGTGCGGCATTAATGAGAGAAAATACGGAAGGATGGTCTGTGACTACATGGACGGGAGAAGATGGAGACACGCGGATAGGAATGAATACGAATGAGGAGAACAGCAAGTTCGTACATTTGTAAAAGTGCATGTTTCTCTGTATGCTGCAACATAGCTTGCTTCTGAGGACACCTTCATTGGGTTCGGCGATTCGATCGATCATGGAGAAATTTAGATTATTTGGGCGTTGGTTGCTTTGGTGTGAGACTGACTACAGGCTATATATCTAACCTAAAAAATCCTTTTAAGTGAGGCATGGGGTGTGATCTTCAACCTGGTCTGGAATGCGAAAGCATGCAGTCAAAGTGGTGGACCCGGCCCTGCCTTACAACCATCGGTGGAGCCAAGTTGTCTATTGTGGGTTTAGTCTTCAAGCCTTCGACAGGCCCAAGCCAACCGAATCTGGAACAATAAGGCGATACACAACAGTCTGGGGTAATACCCAGCTGAGAAGGGGTGAGGGGGATCAGAGCATGTCACGAAGCAATAAGCAGAGTGGAATACTGCAAGGATCATGTGTACATACATACATATGTATGTATGAATATAAAAGACGAAGGTGCAGCGCAAAATGATTAAGTAAGAATGCAAATGCCATTGACGATCTCGAAGCTTCCAACGTTCCAACAGGGTTACCAAAACGAGCTACACGGCATATTGTGAGGAAACATTTGGAATGCAAGGTGTGGGTTGACGTGACGGGAGCACTGGGTACAATGCTCGAGAGCGTATTCAACAATAAGCTTTTATATTCCATTGCTAGAGTTTTGAAGATGAATGCGTGCACTGAGATAAGATTGGGGAGTAAATGTGACCACCGCTAGCTGGTTAGCGTGTGTCAATGATTGGTGAGAAAAAACAGAACATGGTCAGTTAGGCAAGATTTCGAGTACTGAATAAGGGTTCACAATACTTCTAAGAGTATGTACCAGAATGGAGTGCGTTCCTCAGATCCAGCTTTCAATTTGAATCCGTGTACTGCTTGGATTTCGTTTGAGAAAGTGAACACCGCTACCTGGTCAGCAGGTGCCNGTGCCACGCAACTGAGGCAAGTGAACCAAGTGAAAACGCGATCATTTTCCACTGGCGGAATTTTCCGGTTGTATCAGTGTACTGAGATAGGATTGAAACGTGAATGTGTACATTGCTTCCTGTTCAGCTTGTATCACGGATTATTGAAAACAGACGGGAAATAATCAGTTAGGATGAGGAAGAATGAGAATTGCTGGTGTCTATGCTAGTAGAAGTATTCAGCATGACGTAACATATTCCACCAATCAAGCTATAAAGCTCAATCAGAGCATTCGCTTTCTACGCCGTTGTTTTGACGGGAAAATTCTGTTGTTGTACTAATTTCACGACGTTTCTCTTGGCTCTCACTAGGTCGTCCGTCGATAAGGGTCCCACAAAGAGGTACGTACCCTAGCGCGCGGTTTGAATTTATAAAGCGCTCTCGGTTTCAAATCGTTTGGCCAAGCTAACGTGAGATATCTGTAGATATTTCACATTATAATTACCTATTTTTACCGTGTTTTGCTTAACCCCTAAAAAATCGCAAGATATTTCATAATACCAAACTCTGACTGGTTTCGACTAGTCATTGAGAAACGTTTTTGTTGTCTAAAAGTTTTATAGGTTGTCCGTTTTGGTTTTCCTCTACGGTTGCGTGTCCTTTTGTTCCTTTTTCGGTTCATTCTAAAATGGTACATAAGGGTGACCACTGTGGCATAAGTCAGTGCCAGAAACAGGTTGAGAATGGCATCCAGTGCGATAGATGCAAAGCATGGTTACCACCAAAAATGTTGCAAATTATCTACGAAGGATTATTTGCTTCACAGGAAATATCCAGCGCTAAAATGGATATGTAGTCACTGCGTTTCTTTGGCGGAAGAGTGATCCCGAATATTAAAGGAAGCGGTGCTGAAGGAAGCAAGTAAAACGGAGCCACCAGCTAAAACCAAGACCACCGAAATGGAGGGAAAAAAGCCGAAAAAGGCCGTTAGCCAAAAGGTTAACAAAGCGGGGAAAACAGCGCAAATCGACAAGGCGAATCCAGTAAAGACGACGAAAATAACCGTTCTTACTGCCAAGATCGAAGCGCTAGAGAAAGAGTTAAGAACAATAAAAAAACGCAACAAGTGCTCCTG